GCAGCAGCAGTGGCGAGAATTCTTGTATATATATATTGTTGCAAATCCTCCTTGCAACAGCGTGGCATGGGTGAGAGAAAGATGGCACCACTATATTTTCTTTTATTCAACTTTATACATCACGCCGTCACCACGAGAGTCACAGGCAGCGCTGTCACTAACATTTGCAATGCCCGTCTTTCTGCTGTTGACATAACTAAACACAACACTCATTTAAGTGGCACTCTTCACGGGCGCTGAAAAATAGTCTCTTGTAACATCATCACATGTGTGCATGTGTCCATCCGTCTCCCCTTGAAAAAAAAAAAAATCTACACCGGTGCGCAAACACCGTTCGCAGCATATATATATATATATATATATATATATATATATATATATATATATATATATATATATATATATATAGTTTGTAATAGTGTTAAGAGTTGCTAAATTTCATTTGATGGTATTTGTTTTGCAGAAGCGTTTTAATTGGTTTTTGACTTCAAAGCTTGATCTCTCCATAAATGGTAGTTTCACATATTTATGATCCTTTTTTGCGGTTGATACAGCAGGCAGATTCGAGAATTTATTACACAGAAAGGTCATTGTTATTTTATCGAATAAACGCAGTAAGTACCCATTACTTACAATATATATATATATATATATATATATATTTAGAAAATTCAATTCATCATGGAAAGGGGACCAATTAAAAGACAGATTATAAGCTCTAGTGATGAGTGTTTTTATGCTGTTGATTTTGTAAATGCATGGAATATTGCTGACAGAGTGAAGGCTGAGGCCAGTAAAGGTTGGTTTACGGCAAATACTATTGTGGAAACGTCCACAATCTCTGGTAACATGGGTGGGTAGAAAGGGTAGTTGGTTGTTATGTTGCGTTTCACAGATAGATTCAATACCTGGGTGTTTAGAGTTGATATAATTAAAAAAATTAACGTGTGAGGAGTGTTTGAACAGAACAAAAGTGTGATCAATATACTGTCCGTAGTAAATAAATACTGGTGGGCATTGTTGAAGCCAGTCAGGTTCATGATAAAGAAAGGCATTCGGGCTTGCTACCTGGGGTTTACCTCTCCAATAGAGCACGGGCCCATCATTTAGTTTTTTTCAGTTCTTTACCTAGTCTTCTAGCGTCAGAGTCCAGTAATATCCCATTTAATGAAATAGTTCTTCAATTATTGCTAGTAAATCGGATTCGGTCCTCGCGGCCCTTATGTTATATGTGCAACGTGGGGCGGCCTATCTTGAACGGATCTTGGGTACTCTCTGCTCCGGAGCGATCTGATCGCTGCCGTAACCAGGTGATCTGTAGTGGACGTGAAGTATCCCACTGTGGTGATAGTCCAGACTAGACGAGTCCACCCTGTTAGCAGCGCAACACTGCCAGTTCAGCACCATCTATGGACGTTTTGGGCAGCAACCTGGAGCATTTTTATTTTGTTTATTTATATTTTTATTTGTTTTTTTAACAGCCTCAGTTTTCTTTAATCTTAAAAAAAGTTAAAGAAGTTTTACTTTCATTTTAATCTATTTTACTTTAATTTATATCATAAAAACTATTTTGCTACAAGACGCGTGTACACAAAAGCTAAAGTCTTGTCGCCAAACACTCTCTTTGGTTGTCTGCTTGTAAAGATAAGCAGTGTGGTTCGTGGGGCGCCCGGCTTCACCGGACGCTTCCTTGATGTTGCTTTCGTGCTGCAAGAGAGAGAGATAAGTATATTTTCATTCTTTGTAAGATCCCGGATATGTGATATATGAATTGTACATTTTGAGAATATACAGACTGCGGGATCTCAGGTTTTCCTTTGAACTTTTTAGTTTCATTTTTATCCTTAGTTTTAGTTCTTTTACTTTTTTATTGTTTTATTTTTTACTCGTTTTTTAAGAAGGATGGACATGTTTTTTAAACAAAGAAATACGTGATAAAATGGAAAAGAAAGAAAATTATCACACTGATAGATAAGAGGGAAAAAAAGGAAAAAGTGAAGTATAATTATACTAGTGGAAAGGGCTTCAGGGTCAT